CTCACGTCTCAGTTTTTAAGAGAAAAATAGAGATAATTGACCATTCCCATGTAGAGCCCACATCAATATATTGTTACAAACGTAAAAATATTGTGAAAAGAAATGCAATTAGCTTATAAGAGGTCCAAATGAGGCACAAAGTTGAAAATTTCAACTGCAAACGGCACACTTTTTTTACACTCCCTCTCATGGACCAGTATATATATATATATATGGTTTAGAGCAAACTTTACCTGAAACTACTATATCGCCACTGTTTATGAATTATTTCAAAAGAGATTTTGCAAGCTTTGGAAGCGATTGGGGTCGGAAATAAGGGCAGATTTGCCACTACAGAGTGGTATAATAGTTCAGAGTATTTATCCATGGACGCTTTTTCTGGTTGTTCTTTCCTAAATTCCGTCGAATATCTGTCAGTTCGATAGCTGTACGAATTCATCATGTTCTGATCGTCAATAATACATTGCTTTCAATGTAGGACGATAATCCTTAAATTGAAACTTCTACACATAGACATAAGCGCATAGACCTTTCGCGGTTTCCTAAACGGTTTATAACCTCGAATGACATCACACAATGTTGCCAGCCGGGTTTATATATATATATATATATATATTCTAACTTGGATGATCACCAATCCATTCACCGCCTTGAAGTCTCCTGGATAACGGCATTCTTCAAGACTACTAAGAGTTTCTATCCAGTAGAAGTCTATACGTTGAAAACGTCTGGGGCAATTTTCCACAAGCCAACGAAATCATCGCAAGTACTGAAGATTATTTCATATTTCAGTTCAGATTCTTATGCATTACCCTGACATAAGCCATGGAAGCGTCCATGTGCAAAATATTATAGAGTGTGCTTTATCATAGTGCAAATTTATTCAAAACCAATGTGTTCACAGCTATGCTAACCTTTGCCTTTATGTATACATCTTCCCCTAAAAATAACAGAAAAAGTAGTCTTCCATGAAAAGGTGTATCCATAACAACCTGCTTAAAACGTTTAATGCCGTCGTGGGAGGAGAGATGAGAGATGAAGTTTTTACTGCGAGTATAGAAACGTGTTGTCCTACCCAACCAAAAAAGACAACAGCTTTCAATGTATAATTTTTGTATGTGTCAACAAAGTATGCTTTAATAAGCCCTCCAAACTGGTCGCTTTCTTTACAATTCCTTCCTTTTATATTTCAATGTTTGCAGGCTTTATCCACGTCCTTATAAAGGTCACAGATCTCCGCATTAGGTTTTTTGTGAATTGCCAACATATTTCGCATACGACACCGATCACGGAAATGAAGACGCCTTGGCAAATTCACAAAACCCGAATAATGTCGAAGTCTAACGTGATTTTCATGTGCCAGGACAGATAAAAATACGTCTTCTATGAAAAGGTGTTTCCATAACGACGCTGCGTTAAAACGTTTGATGACGTCAGAGGAAAGTATTGATGCGAATCCAGTCACATAAGGTGGGTATTTTCTGTCACTGAATTCCTCTTGGGTTTGGAAGTACTTACTACGTGGATTGCGAACCACGGGGCTATTCACGTGAATAAAACCAACAAATAGATTTCCAGAATTTTTGGCCGGAGGACGTGTCAAGTACTGTATGACGCCCCTATAGTTAACGGTGACGTCATGTCCACATTTCAGGACAAAACGGGTCCAAGGACAGCACTCTTCTACCCAACGAAGGGCGAGAATAGATTTCAATGTGTAATTCTTGTACGTGTCAACAAAATCGACTTTAATTAGATCCCCGAAGTGCTCGCTTTCCTTAACGATTCTTTCCTCTACGTGTTTCATTTTCGAATTTCCTACAAAGAAGACGGTTTTAACTGATTGTCCTATGTATTCCGAAGTATTTCCACAAGTATTTCTTAACGTCAGTCTGGACTGGAAATCTCGAGGATCAGATAAAACTAGGACAAGAAGAAACGGTCCCTCGTCCACGCTGCAAGGGGCACCAAAAATGTTCGGATGCCTTTTGATATGATACCACAGGTATGGTTTCTTCTGTAGCTTTCCCTCACATACTGACGCTGGCACTAAACAATCGGGTTGCGTTTCCTCTTTGGATACGTGACGCCTTTTCTTGTTTTCGATAGTAAAAGTTACCATCAGAACGAGCAGGGCCGCATTGGCTGTGAGAAAAACAAAAAACAGTCCATTTTTCGCCATGACATCCACTCCGCAGCACTAAAACTGACTTATACAGATAAATAAATAAATAGACAATATGGACATTTCGATCACTTATATGAACAGTATGTAATCCATGACAATTTCACGTATAATTTAAGACTTGGGAGTGTTTTCAACATGCCACTGGATGATATTCCTGCGTAAAGGCTAGTTAGGGGTATGCGGGGCAGCCAAGTGGTACATTCTTGATATTATACATATATGACATTTCTGAGAAAAATAGGTTCAGGATAAGAAAAATTGTTATTTTCCTTATATTCCTTTGGAATAGCAAAGATAAAGTGATATTCAGGAGTTTCAAGTGGCCAGGGAGCAAGTACATCATTTCAAAAATGCACATCGTGTATGATCAGTAGCTATGGCCCGAAATATGACACAAATTACATATTAATTTGACAATATGCATCTTGTTTATACCAGTAAATCGTGACACTGCACAGATATCGTTTGCTAGGAACCGTAGTCCGTTCCCCATTACTTTGTACAGGTGACATTCGTCCCAATATACTAACCCCAATGCTCCAAATAACCCTAACCTGTACTAATCATATGGTAGCCCGGACTTCCATTCCTAGGACTTCCATTCCTGTAACACAGGTAAAACACAACACTTGACAGATATCGTTTGCTATATATATTTATTATTCATCCGGTGCATAATAACTGTCACGCATGCGCCATTAGCTCCGCTCCTCGCGCATCTCATGAATAATTAACATATTTATAAGTCCACAGTATTCTGGGAAGATGAGGTCGTCGTGCATGCCATTAATATTGTAACTCAAGAAACAAGACTTATTAAATACAATAGTTAGATAAATAATGTCAATTTCCCTTATTTATGATCTTTGAATGTTGTTTAGAGAGTACGGTGTATAATGTGTGGACAATTTTGCCCAACCCATGCGGGGAAAGTTTTGAACCTGCTTCTGAAGTACTTAAGAAAGTACTATATTACAAAATATATAATTACCCATCCCCTAGTACATTCCTACCCTAGTCTCAATGCAGTTCTACAAGGGTTAAAGGCCCGGTCACACCTACAGAACGCACGAGGTACGCATGCATTGCGCATGAAAATAAGCCAAATGCGCTGTTGTGCGTCCAACTTTTGACAGAATTTGCCAGAAAAATTGCGAATACATAGCGTTCTGTTGGCGTATTTTGCGTATAAAGGGCACATGAAGATCGACTATAGAACGCACGCGTAAAAAAATCCAACGAATGCACAACGGGTTTTTGGCGCAAGGAACGAATGACCCGCGCATTCAGTTCGCATTAAGCGAACAGATAGCGTTCCTCAGTCAGCAGCAATCACGTGACTCGTTCTCTATATATAAAAACTGCAGATTATGTAAAAAGTAACAAGTAAAGTTAATTTTCTTGGATACACATTTATCGTTTCATTTATTGGGAAGGTGATATTAAACAGCAAAATAATAAAGAGAAGCATTAACATGATATACACTGTTAATGTAATTGTTTTGAATTATAACCGAGCATTGTTTTTAGATAATTTATGTAAAAATCGAGCTATACAAAATACTTAGATTAAGACCATCTCAGAGGACGAAATTTAACCCTGATTGTAACTTTAATTACAGTAACATCACATGTGCGTTATGTATTTTGTACCACTGTGTATTATTAAATGTCTTGTTTAGTCTATGCTTAAATGGTCATTTCAAAGGGAAGGAAGAGGTGGTCTAAATCATCCTGTCTTGCCATAGAACAGATCCGTCTTCAGAGTTGACCCAGTGTTTGATGAGATTTCTCTGTTTTTTACCTTTATTGCTGGACGTGTTGCTGCCAGTGACGATGCGGGTGTCCTCTAGATTTCAGCCATTTCTCCACTCACCAGCAGCAAACTCTTGACCCAGGTTCTCGGAAACGTCAAGCTGCTGGCTCTGCAGTGAATACCGGGTCCTCATAAGGTTGTGGAGGATGATGCTTGCTATTATAATCTTTTTGATGGCCTTGGGCTGCCGCTGCATTGTCCTAGGTAGAACTTGTAAACGGTTCGCCAGAATGCTCCTGGTGTCACAGGCCTGGTGGAGTGCAAGTTCCATGACGTTATGAGAATGTTGGAGAACTGAAGTTTTGTATTCTAATCGCAGCCTGTCAAGATCTTCCATATTATGAAGCGGTTATTCAGCATAAGTGGAGAAGTGATGTGGATACAGAGGACCCATTTATGTATACACCATGGATACACGCTAGACTCAGGACACGCATGCTTGGGACACGCTAGGAACACGACAGAGGCGCGCTACAATAACGCTGGCTGCGTTATAGAGTCGTTCAACGTTCGTTCTGGTCCGTTAGAGATTCGTTTATAGTCGCTGCATGTTCGATACACATGCGGTGGAAGCATGCTGTGTGCTCGCTACGCCAAAGCCAACGAATTTGAAACGAACACTTAGCGTTTATGCAACGTCTGATTAACGCTGATCCAGCGGCCTCCGCGAATGCCGAGCGACCTTTTGACGTGTAAGTTCATGCGTCGAGCTGAACGCACATTTTTGTGCATGCACAAAAACTCAGACGCACAAGAGCGAATGAAAACGAATGCATAACCCGGCGCGTTTGACGAATGCAGACGCATAACAGCGCACTGGCCAAAATTGCCAATTTTTTTAGCGCGTCGGCCGTGCGCCGACCCTGCGTCGTGTACGTGTGACCGGGGTATATAGGACAATACGTCGAAATAAAGCTTTTTAAAACCCACTTCCTAATGTTGAACGAAATTCGAAGTATTTTTGCATCAGAAACTGACATTGGCAAAATATGCTGACAATTATATTTTGAATTCATTCAAAGAACTTGCGTATTGAATTGTGTAAAAATACTCTTTAAATCCTAAAAGATATTTATAAAGCGATCATGAATTTCCAGGAACGCACATTATTCATTGCCATTATTTTCTTAAACGACAAAATTAACTCAAATAAAACCCCACAATTCCATAAGTCAGCTTGAAAGGATTCTGAGGATTCTAAATTTATGTGCACTAACGCTACATAAGTAATTCACTGTATGTTTCATAGCGAGAAGATGCCTATGAACACCTATGTTCTCGTTTCTCTTCCATTTGGTGTCGTCTGCTTTCTAGAACTGGAATGGCCAGTAGCATGAGTGATCCCCCTATGAACAGAATACCTGAAATATTGTAGAAAAATAAGTTTATAAGAGGCATCATGTAGTTCAATATAAAACAGATTTATGCCATACGAAGTGAAGAAACTGGCTGGTTGGACTGAACAAGATCCTTTTTATTCTGAAATTCTAGCTTCTCTCTAAGTGAACATCTTGAAATAACATCAATCGGATAAAAAACGAATACGCCATCAAATATTGCAGGGATTCAATCCTCGCTCCGATAGAAAATACTAATGTGACGATTAAGGCTTTACACTACCCTTCAAAAGTGGGTCACTTCGACTCTATATACAATTGGCTTGAAGATGGTTCAATGTAATTTCCCCATGCTTTTACTTATCTCTTTTATGTAGCTGCCCTTTGTTGGTGAAGCGCTAGTATTTGTATGTACAATTCAATAACATCCCAAGAATGGAGCCATTATTTTGGAAGTTATTTTACATATATTTATTTCAATCGCTTTTATGACCAATAAGACTCAAAAATTGGTAGGTGTTTCCTCGTTTGAATAAGCATCGTCCAAGTGTTCTGTCGCAAACACTCTTGCTAAAAAGTATGGAACACTCATTTATATACAATGCATTACTCAAAGAATTGGTTCAATTTTCACACTCATTGTGTAATATATTAATGGTTTCCGATGTAAAATTGACAGAATGAATACAGGTTTGAGTTTAAAAAAGATTGTGAAAAAAAGATGTGAATATATATAATTTAGGTTATGGGCATGAATTGAAGAATATTTTGTCGAAGCTATATTTTCACTCAAAATTAACATTTACCTGCAAGATAAAACGAATATGAATAGTCGCCGGTGAGATCGTATAGATAACCTACAAGGAAGGTAAAATACACGAGTCAGAAAGTAGTCAAATGCTTGACGAAAGAAGAATAAATCTGAGGAACAATGAAAAGTCCCGGTGAATATCTCTTCAAACAGTGAAAATAGAAATATGGATATAACGACACCCATTCATAAAGAATGGGTTGGCGTTCTTCATCTCAATAAAAGCGTTGAGGTGCTTTCAGTAACTTCATGCCTATTCTAGACGGTGATGTACAAGAAAGAATACAGAGGTCTTCAAATATAAGAAAGAATATCTTTTGTTCTATAATATTAAATAGAGGACGTGATTTGGATCGACTGTCACTAAGGAAACAGTGCCAACCGGAAAAAGGATGCCGACAGTTACAATGACAAGAATGCTTACAGGTTCCTAGCACGCCTGGCATTTGATATTCAAAACACAAAAATAAGCGATGAAAAACCAGAATAGGATTACCTGCCATTGGAGGGCCAATTCCACAACCGATACCGCTCATAACCATCAGATATCCAAACCCAGCTCCCAGCGACGACAGTCCGACAGTCTCCACTGTCATTGGTGCCAATAACGGTATAATGATGGTTGAATAAACACCGAAGAGAGCAGCGAACAAGACTTGGGACCAATAACTGTTTATGAATAACGGCAAACTAAATGACAACAGTGCTGAGATCCCCAGGGCGCCAGCGGCCAAAGTAACCTGATCCACGTGCTCTTTGTCGTTGGTTGCAGCCCCCGCAAGCAGTCGACTGAAAAAATTCCCCACGCCAATAACTGACAACAAGATGGCGCCTTGCGGAGGGGTGGTTTCGTGCTGCAATGTGTAAGCGATAAGGTGCAGAAAGCAAAGGAGACTGCCGGAGGCCCAGAAGAATACCGCAATGCATAAACAAACGAAAGCTCCGTTCTTTAGAGGGCCAACGTCTAAGATTGTCATTATATTTGTCTGGTAGCTTGGTTTATCCTTGTCTTCTATAGCACTAAGTTGGCTATTTGAAACTGAATGCTGAGAGACACTTAAAGTCATGCTGCCCATTGACGATAAGCTAATAATTGAAGTAGCATTAAATATATTGTCCTTTGGGTCATTCAGCATAGGGTCTAACCGATTTGATTTCTTGCTCATGTTATCGCGACAAAAGCGGTTCGAATCATCAGTGAAAAAATCGTTTGTCAATGTCTCTTCTAGAACAAGTTTGTTCAAGTCTCTTCGCTTCTGATCACTGTTCTTTTCTGGGAGGTGTAAATTATCTTGAAGAGTAGACTCTATGTAATACCTATTTTTCTCCTCAAGCGGTTTCATTATAGTTCCAAAGACGCAGTTATTCAGACACAGTCCTGCGACGATATAAGCAGAACCACGCAACGAATAAGTGTCTATGAGGAACTGGATCAAAGGGGGGCACATGAACTGTCCCAGGGCCATACCCGCTGTAGCAATACCAAGAGCTATTGGTCTTCTCCTGTCAAAATACTGTCCGACACAGATCGTTGAAGCTGTATAAACAAGACCGGTACCAAACCCTGCAAAGAAAGATGGCCTTGCCAGAAAAATTAATCTTACCAAAATGAAACATGAGGCGTTGCGAAATATTTATGCTTCTTTCAGTCTAACGATCGACAGACAGGCAAAGAAAGAGGTGAACGGACGAAGGGGTTCATACATTAATACACAAACACACACACACACACACACACACACACACGGAAACATTCATACATATCTTCCAACAACAAATCCAAATATGACATTACCCCAAAGCAGTGCCGAAGTTACCAAGCGATTAAATAATTACATCTAAAAATCTACCTGCAGTGTAGCTAATGAAATTAAACACTAACTGAATGACCTAACAAAATAACATGTACAGGTAAAATGAATGTACACCAATTTCGAAGTCTTGCCATCACGGGATTAAATGCTAACTGAACTGCAAGTGTTGATGATATAGTTCGGAGGGCTAACTTGAAATTGTAATGATTGAGAGGGGCTACAAACGGGCTCCACTTCTTGACATGTTGTAGCAGTACCCCTAACACTCTGTACTTCATTTTCATAGTTATTAATGGACTCCAACACGTGGTGCATCCATCCATCACTACTAAGTAACCATAACAGAGATAAAAGCTATTTCAATGGCAAATTAATCAGCAATGAATTTTTTATTCGTCTTGTTCTATTTTTATTTTACACGAGGGTGTTTTCTCACAGGGGGTTTATATCGGAGGCCTATGTTATGATCTAATATAACCATAATGGCTAGGATTTCAAACATTGGGAGGCAAATAGATACACATAAATTTAGTAAAGATTTAGTTTTCATAGAAGGGCTCTAGGGCAACGACGCCCNTAACTCTTCGTATGAGATCTATATTTCACAATAAAAACATTGTGAATAACTCATAGAAATATAATATATTCTTTTTTACCACAAAAACGGCAGTTATAGCTATTATTCTGATATCTGAGCTTGTCTTTAGATCACGTGACCACCACTGATGGCTATACTCTGTTAAAATCTCTTAAGAGATTTTAACAAAAAACCAAGCTTTTTAGAAAAAAAACCAGGGACTAAATTTGAATGTAAAAATGGATTCATTAACCATTGGTAAGTATGGGAAAATTGTTGTCTACTCCAGGAAAATTCATTTTTTGGCCGAAACGAAGAGTTATTATCCCTTTAACTTAATTTGCAATTGAAATAACCTGCCACATACACTATGTTAACCGTGTGTATTAAAATTCAATTTTGCATACATTTACCATCAACCATGAATAACAGATGGCATTTTAATTAACTTTTCCAGACAAAATGCAACCTGCCACGAACACACCTTCTTGAATCAAGGCATTATTGTACATAAATATCAAATTTTAATGTTAAAACCCGTCTAATCAAATATGCGAATCACATCCAAGCTTTTATTACTATTAACTACTAAATACTAAACACTACGCGTACACAATCACGGAACACACACACACACACACACACACACACACACACACACACTCACTATGAATGTTACTGTATTATTTACCTACGACAAATCCAAATGTCGCTATAATCTCCGACATATTTGTAGAAAAAGCTGTGCCAATAAAACCGAGCGCTGAAATGATGGCCCCCAACAAAATACTTATCCGACAGCTGTACTTATTTGCGATGATGCCGCTCACAATTCCCGTTAGACCAGAAATAGAGTTCTGCAAACTGCCGGCAAGTGAAACATAACTTCGTTTTTCGTCCGGAAACTGGGTCAAAAATTCCGCGTTGTACACACCGACAGAACAATTGATTCCATTATTGATGCAGTTGCAGAGGAAAGACGCTACCAGTACAGCCCAAGCCCACCCTCTGTCTATGTCCACGGGATTCATATATGTCGGATAACGTACAGTACCTTCTATGCTGTCAGAATGGCACTCATTGTCCATTTTGACCTGTATCGTCTGATCGGTCTCATTGCCATTGCTTTCGGACGGTGCTGTAGGTTGCAGATGACGCATGGCGTTGTGTGAAGAACAAGCACATTGCCTTTAAATTCTGATAGTGGCAGCAGCTCTTGGGAAATTTAGTGTGTATCGTGAACCCGCATACCGTCACGACTTCGACCCGCAGCCATGTAGGAGGTCGATCGAAGAGCGTTAGTAACGGGTGGTTATAGGTAAGTCTTAGTTGGTTTTGGCTTGAGAACTCCGTCGTTTCGTGCAATTTTTGACAAGTTAATTATCTGCTAAGATGTTACTGTGCTGCAGAGGATTTGGGTAAATATTGACTGATTAATGTCAGTTTAATAGATTGTTTTCAAAATTATCATTATCTTTGCTTTGTATTACTTTATGTAGGCAGATTTACAAATCGCGGATGGAGTGCTTTCCGTTATTCAGTTCAATGCATCCTAATCGAGCATGCCCTACCCTATACACTACAAGTACGGGCACTGATTATATCATATCATTATTATAAGCTTTATTTATAGAAACTTCCCAATGTGCTCATCACTGCTAGTTTGTGGAGAGCATATAATGCTTCCAGCGCCTTGCCTCCACTTCATTCTTTTGAATAAACGTTGTTAAAAAAAAAACTGCTAGTTCGATTTGTGTTGTATGAGATTCAATATTCGACAATAAATAAACAATGCGTCAAAATATCATAAATTTGAGCATCGGAACAGATTCATTAACCTTTGGTAAGTATGGTAATAAATGTTGTTTACCCTTGGAAAATCCGTTAAATAGCACTTTTCTCGCCAAAATGAACAGTTTAAAGACGAAATTTGCGTTGTTTTACAGGTGAACCTGCGGCTTGTATGATATAATAATTGTTTCAACTGGGCACGAAAGATCAGTATTGGTATATGATACAAAAAAAGCAATAGGAATGCTTCCCAACTTGAGATACAGTACCTCATTCCTAGCAAAATAAGAAACCGCACGTGACAGCAACTGCATGGCCGGATTAGCTAACGATCTACTACCAAGCTGTCACTCCACGTGGACACCGCTAGAGGACGTCCCAGAACAAACAGCTACAATCTTTTTTCTCTCTCTTTCACACACACACACTTACACGTTTGTCGTTTTTACAGTCATTGAGATAAAAAAACTGAGACCTTCTTTTTTTTTTTTGGGGGGGGGGGGGGGGGGTTTTGGTTGCCAAAAAAAAGTTTTTTAGTGGTTTTGTTTTTTTAATTTGGGGGG